AGGGACCCTGTTTAAAGAGGGAATCTCTCTCTCTCTCTCTCTGTCAGTATCCCTGTTTAAGGAGTGGGAGTCCCATTGCCTGGGACCCGACATCCTGAGGGGCACGCCGCAGGCCAGGGGATTAAAGTGGGTGATGGGCGATCACAGGTGGGTGAGTGGGTGCCAGCAGGGAGAATGTGCCCGGGTTTCCCGAGGGGTGACCCACCAGGGCAATGCCTTGGTCGAGGGCCGGAAAGGGAGTGAGGGCCCGGCCTAGTGTTATCGGCTGGGTTGAGGTAGGGGCTGGGGAAGGGGTGCGGTGGGTGGAGGCTGGGAGCAGCTGTAGAACTACAGGTGAGACCTGCTGCGTGGCGCAGCATTCTGGGAAAGCTGTAGGCGAGCGGCCCTGCGACTAGGCCCGAGGCCCCTCAGACTCGACTAGTCCGCCCGCTGAGGCTTAACTTTTGTTTGCTTTGTTCAATCAGGCACCTGGAAAACCAAATTTAGGAAAGAGGACACAAAGGAAGAAATCTTCTCCGTGTCACCAGAGAAAAAGGTGACCGTCCCAATGCTCCATCAAGCGACTTACCCACTGGTGGCCATTTTTCACCCAGAGCTAAATGCCAAGGTAACTTAAGACATACACTCTTAAAATTAGGAACACCGGCAGGATATTCGGCCCCTCTGTGCTGCCCCCCCCGCCATTCCAGACGATCGTGGCTGATCTGACTGTCACCTCGAATTCCCATTCGCTCCTACCCCTGAAAACCTGTCTCCCCGCGCCCCACCCGGACAACTTGCTTCAGATGTATCTATCTCCCTCCACCTTCAAAATATCCCAGCTTTCCGCTTCCACCACGTTTTCGGGAAGAGAGTTCCAAACACTCTCGCAAGAGGTAAGTGTTTTCCCTCATTTCTGTTTGATCGCTCCAGGTCATAGAAATCATACTATCCCCACAGTGTGGGAACAGGCCATTCAGCCCAACGAATTCACACCGCCCCTCCGAAGAGCATCCCACCCAGACCCATTCCCCTACCCCTGCATTTCCTAATCTAAACCCACCCTAACCTGCACATCCCTGGGCACTACGGGACAATTTAGCACGGCCAATCCACCCTAACCTGCACATCCCTGGGCACTA